AACTAATAGATGATCAAGGGGAAATTTGCCATGGAAATGGAGAGAAGAAAAAAAATATATAAGATTACTACGGAAAATTGTATGAACAAGAGAATATAGAAGAGGAAAGAGTTAAACAATACCTGCAGAAAGCAAATCTATCCCAGATACCTAAAGAAACTGAAATGATGCTAGAAGGCAATATAACGATGATAGAGCTAATTGAAGCACTTAAAAAACAAAATAATGGAAAGGCCCCAGGCCCTGATGGGCTGCCAGTGGAATTGTATAAGACATTGCAGGAATCATTGTATCTCACACTATTAGAAGTTATGAATGAAATTATGTTAAAGATGAGGATACCCAAATCGTGGTCAGAAGCATATATTACACTTGTGCCAAAAGAAGAGGCTGACCCACATCAAATTAAGAACTATAGACCTATTTCACTGCTAAATTCAGACTATAAAATATTTGTTTCAATATTGGTAGAAAGACTCAAAAATATTTAAATAACTTTATTCATCCTGATCAAAATGGGTTCCTGCCAAAGAGACTAATTAAAGACAATATGAGAATAATTCTGGACACTTTGGAATATTATGAGGCACATCCTGAAAAACAAATGGCTTTGATGTTCTTAGATGCAAGAAAGTCTTTGACAATGTTAATTGGTGATTTATGGTGTTACAGTTGGAGCAGATAGGCTTTGGTAAGAAATTCACTCAAGCCATACAAACTATATATCACAAACAAACAGCGAAGATAATGATAAATGGAGAATTGACAGACTCTATTGACTTAAGGAAAGGGACAAGACAAGGTTGTCCACTATCGCCTCTGTTGTTTGTGAAAAAGACATAAAAGAAATGAAAATTTAAAAGGAAGAATATAAATTCAAGCATTTGCAGATGACCTGGTCTTCATCATAGAGGATCCACTAGAAACTGTACCTAAATTGACAGAAAAAATTGAGGAATATGGAAAAGTAGCAGGTTTGAAAATAAATAAAGACAAAACGAAGATTTTGACAAAGAACATGTTATTAAGACAAACGGAAGAATTGGCGGAAGCTTTGAAGATCCAAGTCATGAATAAGGTCAGGTATTTGGGGATATATTGTTAGGCCTATGGAAAGGATGCACAAAAATCTTGTAACCCATCGACACGCTGTATGTAATTGAAAGTGGTTTTATGTTTCATTTGTCTATGTCTAAAAATAAAAACTTCATAACAAAATAATATTTCTTTATAAACTATGTTTATTTTATCTGTTTGAAACATCTTATATTCATTTAATGAGTTAATAGTAATTCCAATATCCCAATTGCCCAAAAAGACCAATGTTAATTCAATTTACACAGTCCTGAAATTGTTCCTCAAAATCCCCTAAATTTATAGGGTTGGAGGTTTCAACTTTATACCCTCTAAATTTCCCAAATTTTTAGTCTTGATTAATTTTTCTTCTTTCCTTTTCGCTTCATAGTGTGTTCTATCAAATAGTCTTAAATAATCCAAATTGGCCCACCAAATTTCCCCAAATATCTTTAACGCACAGAGTCAAATATTGAATTTCAAAGATGCTTCTTGTTAGTTTGTAATCCACCTTGCCTTAGACATCTTCAAAAGATTCACTCAGCACTTCCAAGCTGCTAGAACACCAGTAAACATGGAACCAAAATAAAAAGGCCTTCCAGGTGTTGTCTGCCTTTCATTATTTTCCTTTTTCTCTTTATTTTTCTTATATTATCACTCATTGTCAAGATCATTTCCCAGTGTGTTCAGGTATAATATATTCTTTCACCAGTAGGTGGCAACCCCACTCAAGGTTCCAACATTAAACAGCTGACTATCAAAAAAGAAATGGGGCAGGGGGGGGGGCAGATTTCTTTTTACAATTTCTTCCAATAATCAAACAGTGTTATTCACAATTTAAGTCATTTTAAATAGTACTACCAGTTCCAGTCCATGCTTTCTATATTTTAAAGCTTCATAATCAAATGTTTATTTCACTTTTGGGCATAATCTTTATCCATGTATTTAATAGATACTTCTTAGTTTTCGAGAATCTTTTTTTTTAAATGCTTTCATTTGGGTTTAAGTCTCTGGTATAGAAGTTGAAAGTAGTCTCACCCAGTTTCAATCTTCTTTCCACAAACTGCTCCAGTTCATAATCTTCTTGTCCTGGTTTCTGAGCTTCACTCTTGCCAAAATGACCATCGTCTCTGCTGCCAATCTAGAGGGTTTTTTTGGATCACATTTGGAAATTGCTGTTTCCTTGTGATCTACAAAGTTTCCCTCCTTTCTTCATCACTCCCTAAGGGTGGCTTTGGCTCAGTAGGGTCTCCTGGCAGATAGGTATCAGCTGGATTTTGTGAAGCTCCATGGAATTCCACTATCCCATATCCGTACTACTGCGAAGCCAACCAATGAATCCAAGCGGACCATCTTTAAAGGGTTATTATAAATAAGGTGGGGCTGTATTTGTTTATGATGGTCTACATTTTTTTTAATAATATATTTTATCCATTCTGAGGTGGGGGGGTTAAATTGTTAAAGCTGAGAAATTATACTTGTTTATTACAAAAATTATATCATATCTCTTTGCTCCAAACTTTTTTGTTACAGACATATTTTACTTTACTTTTTAGTTTATTATCTGAGAGTATAATAGCCTCACAAAATTTGATTCTTAGTTACAAAAATATAGTCTTGACATTTCTAGGAAGTATCCTTATTTGTACATTTATTTCATGTAACCTATAAGAACGTTTCTTAAAAAAAGAAAAACAATGAAGAGGAATATGAACATATCTTTCCCAAACTCCTTATATATGTTATAGTGTCTGGAACTGCCATAAATACACTGATTGGAAATCACCACAGCATCCTACATATTTATCAAGACATGACTCTAAAATGGGCAACTCAGCTTCCTCATATTCCTGTATCAGCACGACTGGGGAAATTACTGTAAGTAGTCTTAGTTTAATTTTAGTTTAGAATTGTGTTTGTCAGTATGTGTATTTCTTAGAATAAAATTTGATTTTAATTTAATTGCCCTTGATTGGTTTGTTGTTGTCAGCTGTTCGCCTTGTTCAAATGAATTATAATCAGAGAAAGCTTATACCATAATAAATTTGTTATGATTTGAATTATACATCTCATGTATAATTAATGTATAACTGAATTTCTTTCAGTTTAATTGATTTATTGAATCAATTTTATTACAATGTATGTTTTAGTGTTGTGAATAATACTATAACCATAACATCTTTTTGTTATATTCTATTCTATTTTGTTATATTTTATTTTATTCTATTCTATTTTCAAGGAGTTAAAAGTACTACACGTTACATTCCTTTTTCTGATAATTTCCATATAGCAATAATTTTGGAGGCTGGTAGGATTTAAAATAATGAGCCCATAGTGGTTCCATAGCTGAGGATGGAGTTGAACATGAATATCTCCAGTCATTCCAACACCTTAATGTTAACCTACAATGTTGACCAAATGTTTCTGCATATTTTGGAAAATATATTTTTTATTAATTATCTAGCTGAACATAAATGCCCACACTCATATAACACTCTTTTAGAATATATTCATTTTATTATTGTCGTGGAAAATTAATTGTTACCTAGTTTTTGATGTACTGAATATAGTCTACATTTGGTTTTATATATTTATGGTTTTATTTAAAGTATAGCATGGATGGAAGAACTTTGAAAAAATATATTCCTTGGTTGAAAAATATTAACTTAAAATATCTAATTAAGGAACAATGTATAGATATATTGATCACTTGATTTCTTTTTTCCCCTACTGTGAATTCATTGTGAATTGTGTATTTTTTATAATGGTCCTTCCCCCCCCACCCCCAGTTTTATTTCTTTTATTTATATTCCATTTCCACCAAACAGTTTGAGATCTGGGTTTTAAACGATCAAAATCCATATATTTGTTGTAATATTCATCATAATACTATTTGTAATACAATTATATATCAATACAATTACAATAATATGTAATATCTTCATCGTCAAATTTTCTTGCATCTCAGCGGGAAGGGCTACAACAGGGTTAAGTCACAGTCTGATTGGTCTGAGGGAACTTTCTTAAAGTCACCATCCTTCCCTATTGGCTTCCAGTTTCCTCTCAGTCTCCTGGTCCAAGCACTGGTTTTTGGCTCCTTGAGATACTAATAATTGTTATTTAATTATTTAATTTGATAAATTGGATACTCTAAATTTGCTAAATTATTGGACTGCCGGCCATCAAGGCTGCTAGTCAGTTCTCATAAGGAGGCAGGGCTCCCGGTCCTTGCCTCTAGGACGAAGGGGCTTGTTTGACTCCTGGGCATGCAGGGGTGACGAGCTCCCATCGCAGCCGAGTTCTGCTAGAGGCTTAAGGCTACAGGAAGACAGGTTCGTCCTTAAATCGACGGAACGAGCCAAGTCGCCGGGATTATCCCAGGCACACTCTGAAGCCACCGCTCCTTAACAGCTTGCCGCGGAGGAGGAAATTGGGCGCATTATTACAGCCTTGCCGAAGCGTCTCCTAAGAGCTCTTCGGAAGCCTATGCCGCAGCGCGACCACACGGCCAAAGCAAGTGGGAACAGCGCTAATAACTGACTCGCCGAGAGGCTTCCACCTCAGAGTCAACTTACTGGGCGGCCTCTATCTGCTTAGCCACGAGGCACGGTGGCCATTTTGGAGCGACCTCGTGGTTCCAGCCTCCTCACGCAAAGCCTGATCAGCGGCAAGAGCCCTTCTGACCAGCAGTACAACCGAGTGTCGATGCTGAAAAGGCTCTGGTTTGACTCCAAGCAGACCAGCCACGTGAGTGAGGCATGGCCTCTACAAGCACCGGGGCAGCGCAGGCCCCTGAAGGGAGCAATGGGGAGGAGAGAGAGGAAGGCCAGGCCAGATTGAGGCCTAGGGCGACGATTTCTAAGCCATCTGCGGATCAGGGCCACAGTGAGAGATGAGCTCCGCAAACAGAAGGCATTGGAGAAGAGAGTGGCCAGGGCTGAGAAGCTATCTCACCATATTAGGCCCTCTTAATATAATGTCAATACTAGAAAAGGATTGGTACCTATCAGAAAAAAATGTAAAGTCTTGTCCTTTAACATTCCGTTCACGCCAAATATCTCTCAATTCCATATCATCCATCATGTCAAAAAATGATTTAGCAATCTTGCTCGTGTTTGAGTGTTTTGCAAAAGTCCTTTCTTGTCTTTCATAGTATCCAATACTCCATTCCAGTCACCCAATAATATACACGATCTATAGTCCCATTGTATTAATTTAGTGCACAGCAACTTGTAAAAAAATTTCTTGTTGTTGATTGGGAGCATATACTCTCGTTAAGAGTATTTTTTCCTTTCTATTAATAATTCAATTGCAATATATCGTCCTTGAGGATCTGCTTCAATTAATTTGGCCTTTAAGTCTTTCCTTAAATATATAACTATACCATTTTTCTTCTCTGGAGCTGATGCCACGAAGTGTATTCCCAGTCTTTCATTTATCAAATGTTTCTGGTCATTTGTTCTAATATGTGTTTCTTGCAAACAAATTGCATCATTTTTAAATTGTTTCAAATAGTGAAATTTTTTTCTCCTTTTTTGTGGTGAGTTTAAGCCGTTAACATTCCAAGATAAGAATTTAATTGTCATCTTTAGCCCCCTGAAGCTTTTTAAGAGCCGCCTAGAAATCCTGCTGGAATTTCTTCTTCGGTCTGGCTCCCCTCACAGCTTCTGTGTTTGTATTTATAGTTTCTTGGGTTGTTGTCTGAGCTTGTTGCATCTTTAATTCTTGTTCTTTACGTTTAGTTGCGGCTCGTGTTTGTCTTTGTTCCATAACTCCTTCTGTCTCCTCAAATAATTCCAAGGCTTGAGCAGCACCCAAAAGTTGAGTTAAATCTTCTTGTATACTCAAGGCATCTCCTTGAGCATCCTTTCTAGCCTCCCCTGCTTCTTTCCTTCCTCTGGCTCTTGGAGATGGTGGGTATCCAGCCTTTAGTACATTACTGTTAAAATCTCTTGCCTTCCAAACTGAGTTAAGATGATATCTTTCTCCTAGATAGTTCACCACCAGTATGGCTGGAACCTCCCATCTATATTATATCTGGTGATTTCTAACTTCATCAACTAAGAATGCATAGTCCTTTCTGGATCTCAACATTTTAGGGGGAATTTCCTTCAGAACTGCCACCTCCTGTCCTGCTACCTGTAGTTTGTTTTTATAAGTTGCTTGTAATATTCCATTCCTTGTTTTCCTGGTGACAAAATAGATTACAATATCTCTTGGTAGTTGTCTCTGTCTAGCAATCCATGAATTAACACAATAAATTTTGTCAACCTGCCAATCATATTCTGCCTTTGGTTCACCAATTAACTGAGCGAAAGCTTCTGCAAAAATCTCTTTCAAGTTTTCTTGGTTATTTTCTTTCAATCCTCTTATTCTCAAAGCAAATTCCATCGCTCTGTATTGTATCATTGTAACTTCTACCTCTGACTTCAATCTTGATTTGAGCCTCATCAACTTTGTTCTCCAAATTCACATTCAACTGATTAATTTCTTCCACCTTATCCTCCAATGATGTTACATAACCAAGCAAAGCTTTAAATGCATCCACTATATCCTCTCTTATTTGTTGATTGCGGGTTTGGATTAAATCCTTAATTTCAGACATTTTGTCAGACATATCTTTAAAAGCAGTTGTAATTTTTTTTTCCAAAGCAGAGGCTTGTTCCTTTACGGCGCCTTGGAGAGCTTCAAGTGTCAATGTTTGTGTATCCTCTGGGGATAATAAAGACTGCAGTTTGGGTAGCTGGGCTGGGGAACTTCCAGCACTCTCAGAAGTACTTGTTTTTGTATGTCTTGAAGCCATTTCCAAATATTCAAATCACACTTTTCAGCCTTGGAGAGCTTCAAGTGTCAATGTTTGTGTATCCTCTGGGGATAATAAAGACTGCAGTTTGGGTAGCTGGGCTGGGGAACTTCCAGCACTCTTAGAAATACTTATTTTTGTATGTGTTGAAGCCATTTCCAAATATTCAAATGACACTTTTCAGCAGCCAAATTATTGAGTCCAAAAAGTCCACTTAATGCCCAAATTTGTTAAATCTTATAGTTTGTTAGTAAACGAATGCTGCTTTCTTTAATCTTGAGTTCTTGGTTCTTTTAACGACGTTAAGGAGCACTTAACAAATAGTTCCCTTTTAAGTTTCACTTTCACCACGCCCTTTAACTATCAGGCGCCATCTTCAGTTCCCTTTGTTCCCCTAATACTACATCAGAGTTAAAGTTTGTACTTGCAATTATAATTACTCCTGTCTTTGTTCTGCCTGCTTCTTATTCAAATGTAGATTAAAGTGTTGATTGCAGGGATGGTCGTGTTGTTTTGTTCTGCTATAGCAGAAGTGCCCCGGGTGCGTAGTTCTGTCGGGTTGCTGAGGGGCTCTTACCCTTCGAGCCCCAGAGTTACTCCTGGGGGGGCCTGGATGGACTCCAGAATTGCACAGGGCCGTTGGACAAAATCGGATCTCCGCCAAAATATCAATTGGCTGGAACTGAAGGCCTGGCTCTCGTATTTCCGGTCAAAGATAGCAAACCAACATGTGCTACTCTTAACAGACAATGTGGCCATGAAGGCACACATAAATCGACAAGGGGGGACTCACTCCAGATGTCTCTGGCTGGAGGCTCAACTGCTCGGCCTGTGGGCAGAAAGGAACCTGGCCACAATTTCTTCAAACCACATCTTGGGTATTGCCAATCATCAGGCCTACTGGCTGAGTCAACAGTTGATCATGGGGAGTGGCAACTGCTTCTGGAACTTTTCCACAAGATTTGCCAATGCTTCAGCCGCCCACTGGTGGATCTGTTCACGAGTCCAAGCAATGCACAATTGCCCCGGTTCTTCTCCTGCTTCCCTGCACGCAATGCGGAGAGGACGGAAGCAC